GAAATTTTTTTTTTAATCTTAAACGAACTTTATGTTCACTATTCCTATTTTGACCTAAAGATTCCATAATGTAATTCCTTTCCTCTTCACTAATAAGCATCGTTTGTTCCTCTGGACTATCCGCGATCACAATCCACCAAACCGTGCACCAAATTAGACAAAGTGCACCTTCAATGTAAAATATCCATATCCATTCGAAATTCGCAGCCAACATTCCCGTTAAGAGTATAGAAATCACAGTGCCAAGTGCAGTTCCTAGAAGAAGCAGAGAATAATATATATTTACACGACTAAAAAAAAAGGAAAAAAATATATGTTTTTACCTGCATAAACGATCGAAGCAAGAACGCTTCTCTCGTTTGGTGGAGCCCATTTAGCGATCATAACGTGCATTGCCGGAAACGTCACTCCCTACAATTAAAAAAAAATAAATAAATAATAATAATAATAATATAATATTTAATTCTAAAACAATTAAATATTGAACAATTTTTTAATCGACTAACCCCACCGATTCCTTGAAGAAATCTCATCACGATAAAGAGAGAATAATGGGTTTGAGCAGCAACAGGTGATAATATAGATGCGACGACGTTCAGAAGTACCGATCCATTCATCACCCATTTGGCGGATAACAGTTCGGCCATTCGTCCCCCCGGAAGTAAAGATATCATGTATCCCCAGAAGTAGGATGACAAGATAAGGCCTTGTAAAGGTTCGTTCCACACGAATGGACCATCCTGTACGTGTTAAAAAAAAGTTGTGAAATTTTCATTTGTGAAAAATTTTTAAAAATTTCTTCATAATCATTCCGTTCCATAAGACAACAACTTCGAATTAAATTATTTTAAAATTAATTTTTTAATTTTCATAGTATTTTATTTTTAAATTTTTAAAATTAATTTTTAAAATTTTATTATATATTATAATAAAAATTAATTTTATTATGTATTATATTTTAAAATTAATTCACGTAGTTCGTATACAAGTATACACATACCTCGATGACGGTTTTCGTCGTCGCGTTAGAAGAAACATCATGGTGATGACATTCGTCGGCCACATTCGTCGCATTCCCCGATTCTAATTGATGCAACGTGGACAATATTACAGCAGTGTGGTTCACCATAGCTACGATGGCCACACTTACGTTTACCTTGAAACCGTAGATAATGGCGAGCCCAATTGAGCCCATAATCGCCATTACGTATCTTGTAGGAAACGTGGCGTGCCCTGTTTCTGTAAATATGTGTATTTAAAGAATTTTAAATGTTTATTTAATGGCACAAAGTGGCTAGTCTTTTTAACAATTATAATGACTAATTGATAATAAAAATGGTATATATATAAGAATGAACAAAGGAATTTTTTAGCATGAAGCATAACGTGTTTTTTATAAAAATATTCTTCTTTTTTTTTTTGCGATTGTTATTATATAATTCTATCTGCAAATAAATAAAATTAAATGACGATTTTTAAGAAAGGTTAAAAAGTTATCGAGAAAGTATTAATTTATGCAATTTGAAATATGATAAATTTACATGTAAAATTAATATCTTTGAAATTTTCTTTCAATTTAATTATCATTTTGAACGACAAAAAATGAAAAAAAAAAAATTTATTTTGGTACGTTGATAGATATTCGATAAACAAATATTCAATTATTTATTAACAATAATAATGAAAAAAGGATCACTACAAGTTTTTAGATCACTAAATACTTTTCTTTTTTATTCCACGCATTTATTTTCGGTATTTATTTTCGAATATAGGTCAAGAAACGTATAAAAACGAAATTTCAAAATATTTTTTTTCTTTTCTACGAATATATCGCGTAAATAGGAAGGAAATATATCATTTCATGTCAAAATCGATGAAATGAATAACAAATTAATGATTTTTTTTACAGATAAATTATCAACGACAATATCGTTATCAACTACACAACTATTAAAACGAAAATTTATATTATATGAATGACTAATGACTAACATGTGTCATAATAAATGCATAGCGTTGCATCAACTAGATGGAAACAGTGTGATTTCAAAATTATTATTATTTTGAATTACATCGTGTATTTAATTTTTCAAAAAATTAAAAATATCACGAAAAATATTTTATTTTATTTTTTTTTTTTTTTGACTCGATACAAAACTTATTCGGCGAAATTTTATAAAATGTTTAAATAAAAAAGAAAAAAAGAGAGAGAGAAATGAGTAGAGGACACTTGAAGGTCACAGAGATAGAAAAATCGACAAAGGATAGAATTTCGAAAAAAATTGAAATTCAATTAACTTTCCCCGCTTTTACGAACTCATTAATGTACAATCTCTAGGATCAGAATCGTACTATAATTACTTACCCTTGAGATTACGTTTTCCAGTCATAATTTTCCCTTGTTGATACGTATTTTCTCTGCCTTTTCGAAATAAATAAAAAAAAAAAAACCTTGGTGAAAAAGTTTACAATTTCTTTTCGATTACAATTGCAATTCAAACGAAATTTAAGAATATAAAATTTCTACGAATTCACAAATCGTCGCTTAATATTTTTCGATTTAACGCCGTTCCGAATTCGAAGAGAAATTTTCGAAGTGAAATACGATTTTTAGCCCGAAAAATTTATAATTATTGGACAATGTAAATTTCGAAAACTTGTCGATTTACAATTCTCTCTTTGCTCCCACTTTCGTTTGTTCCTCGTTCGCGCAATATGCTACTGAAAGTGAACGCGATACATCAGATCCTCCAAACTATACGAAGGAAAAACGGAGCGTGCGCCTCTTCTATAAATGCCATAGCCGTGTGAACGCAGGCTCAAATTCATCGTCTTTCCAATACTACTCCTTGTCGGTGTGACGGTATCTATGTATTTTCAACCTGCCCGTTCATTCCGAGAACGTGTGACTTTAATGAAAATGCACGTACGTAAATATTTGAGGGATTACGTCATTAACATTAGACTCCTAACATCTGTAATAATATTGTTTAATATTGTTAGATTTTCAGATTTTACAATGTGAAATATATATATATATATATAAATATTATTCGGATTTTTTCTTTATTATCGGATATTATTAAATTTATAATATTTAATATTTTTACGATTTAAAATTCTAATATACATATTGATTCAATCAGATACGATACCACTTGCAAAGTGGTATTTATTCGTTATAAGTTTGCTATATTGCAAGCTTGGATATAAAATTCTAGCTTTATCTTTATCGAGAACGATAAAAGAGTGAAAGACGAAGATAAATTGAAAGTCAAAGCGTTTGAAAAAAACTTTATGATGTATTGTTTCGGGTAAAGTTCTTCTTAAACATGTGTCCCTGATAAATACCGAAGCATATAATATCATTTAAAGTATTAAATAAATAAATTAAATAATTTGACTTTGTAAAAGAAAAAAGAAAAAAAGGAAAAGAAAAATTTATTGATGCATTTTTATATTTTCGTAAGATTTCAAGTTATTAATTTTTCTGTATATATATATATATAAGAAATGCAATAATTGAAATTTCAACGTTATACCATTTATCCGTTAATTTGATGGAAGGAAGCGCATGATGAACCAAAATGAAGTTGGATTCATAAATAGGTTACAATATACATATGTCGACCTAATCAAAATTTGCAAATTGACAGTATGTAACAAAAATAAAACGATGACATTTATAAATTCCAATGTATAAAAATAAGTTCTTTTTGAATTTTAATGATAAATAAGTAAGCTAGAAACATGAGCGAGGAATTAGCACCTGACCCTACCCTTGAAGAAATATATACATGGATCGAGCAAATACAATTTTCAAAACCAAAGAAGAATCTTGCTCGAGATTTTTCCGACGGTGGTAATAATGAAAAGTTCATACATTTTATAAGCACAATTTATATTTTAATTGGCTAATGTTTAAAAAATGTTTTTTTTCCAACAAATCCCAGTTTTTATGGCTGAATTGTTAAAACGGTACTATCCTAAAAACATCGATATACATAATTATGTTCCTGGTAATAGCGTTGCAAAAAAAATAGATAACTGGTGTACGCTAAATCGGAAGGTACTTTCAAAGCTTGATATCAAATTAGGAAAAGATATAATCAATAAATTGGCAAATTCGCAACCTGGTATTATTGAAAAAGTTTTAATCGAATTGCGAACTAAAATTTTAAAAGATTGTAATACGGAAAGGAATAATTTATATTCTGAATATCAGGAAAACGAAAAACCAGGTACGTAAATGATTACAGTCAAATAATAAAATTTTGGAAAAAATTTGTATAATTTTTGAGCAAAATTTTATTTTCTATAAAGAAGTTGTTAAGTCAGTGCTCAATACTGAAGAAGTAGCGAATAAAACTGTTCCACGTCATGTTTTTGTTCGATTAAAACAGGAATTAGAAGAAAAAAATGAAATGATAAAAATGCTTCATCAAAAGGTATCTCATCTCGAGTCTTTGATAAAACTAAAAGATCAAAGAATTACAGATCTTACTTCACAAATAATAAAACCTGTAGAACAAAATACACCAAGATCTGTAAATTTAAGCCCCACATCTAATGTAGTTTCAAAACTTCGAACGAAAATTATATAGATAATTAGATATTTTTGAAAGTTTGAAATGTTTTGAAAATATTTTAAATAACAGTGTACTTCAAAAAATTATATTATTTATAAACTTTTAATTAATATATCATTTTAACATAGTGTACCACATCTTGATTTGTTTTTTTCATTATTTAGATTACAATTTTTATAATTATTGTTATAGATTTTTATTATAATTAAATCTATTAGTTTATTGATTTTTGTTGACACTTGTTAAATGCTCGTTACAAAAGTTGATAAAATTGTATCAACGTAAAATTATATTATTTGTTTCTTATTTTTAGATAGATTCAATGTAAATAGAAATTTTATATTGGTGCTCTCATACTTGGTGGTGAAACCAAAATTACACCATCACCACGAACAAAAAGCATAGAAATATTCCTTTTAGTCGTACGATACACTTCCTCGTATGTTTCTTCATCAATTTCTACGGTAGTTACAGTTTCTTCTGCTTCGCCCAATACCATATTCAAATGTTGGTCATAAGCCTGTAAATTAAAAAATTAAAAAATTTTATATTATTAAATTTTTTTTAAATTGACAATATAAATGTATATATAATAGACAGATAAAAAAATAATATTTACATGTAATCGTCCCCGTAATTCTCTCTCATTTCTCATTTTAACATATATTCTTTCATCAAGACTCAATCTTATAAGATCTAAGGGTTCTTTAACATTTATTGCTGGCACCTGAAATGAAAATATATAAGTGAGGTTATTATATAAAATTCTAGAAATACTTGTATATTTTGATCTTGAACTTTATCAATATGCTCACTTCATCCAAAAACAAATATACATGAGGTTATAATATGTATAATAGGTTAGATTCATGTTTAAAACTTTAAATCAATGTTTTTACCTGTTCTGTCTCGTCAGCCATGATATAATTAAATTCAATATTATTTATTTATTTTATTCTTAATTTATAAAACTAGATTAACTTTTTACGTTTATGTTTACAAACAAATATAAATGTTTAGTTTACTTTCTACAAAATCAACTATTGCGCGGCATCATTCGGATAAACCGGCAATATTATCATTTCATGATATCAAACTATCATCCGGCAAGTGGCGCCATACATTTCTCAAGATATTTTCCTAATTTATTAAAATTTCCTTAATCATTAAATAATATTCATTATATCATTTTCATTGAATAACAAATTAATTAAATCTTTTGATATTTTTTTTATAAATATAAATATATTCTATAGTTCTATAGTTTTTATTTTATATCAAAAAATACTTTGATTTTCCCGCCTATTAGTTATCAGCTTATCCGCATCAAGGAATGGGCGCTACTAGTCGACGATAGAAATCAGCGTAGCTTGAGGTATTGCTAGAGTGAACGAGCGCGAGGGAGCGAGCAACGCCATTTTCTCAATTCGCGGGTGAAGACTGTGCGCGGTGTGTGACTTGTTTGATAAAGTTTATCCACGATTCTGCTTCACGACGTCGAAATTACGGGCTGTCTGACGGCCCTGGTGTATTCACCAGTGTTATGCATAGACACGCGGCCAGCTGTGTGGTAGATATGGTGAGTTCAGAGAGATCGAAGCGCTCCCGGGAGACGTGACGTCTTGTCAGTCGGCCTTTTCCCATTCCCCCTTCTTGGTGAGCTCCCGCAGGGATGGGTCGTGCAGAGTTGTCGTTTATGATAACGTAACATAAACTAAACGGTAAATCGAACACACGTTTGTCCTTGTCGATTACGATTTCACGTGTAATAAAAAAAGAATCGTGGTGGAATCAGGAGCCCGTAAAATGTTTCGTTCGGGCCAATGGGCGGAGGTTTAGGGCGGCACATGGCTGTTGGGGCGCCGGCTGTGCAGGGGGTGGTTTTCCCGACGCTAGCTCGAACTGACGAAAATTCACTATTCTTGTCAGTTACGATATTCTATGCGTACGTATATCTCGATCGTGATCGCGTGTAATTGCGGCCGGTCACGGTTCGGATAACAAGTTCATAGTGACAGTGGAAAGAGAAGTACTCCGTTATATGTCTTGATTTTCTTATTGAAGAAGAGAAGCAGCCGGAGGCTTCGGCCTTTCGCGGATTACGCGCGTCTCTTGTGTGCTATAGTGTTCTGCATTTTCTTCACGTAAACCTTGGACAAAGGAACCAATACTGATCACGGACGATCTCTGGAAGAGAAATATTCGACGATCTTTGTGTTGCTGCGAAGCAGGGACAACGGGTAACGTAAGCTCCTTTCATATATGGTTTTGTAAATTGTGATATCGTGTGAATCGTTTAATTTGATCTTCCACGATGATTTATTAATGGACCGTTAGATCTCGTGGAATGTGTATGCGTCAGTATTATCGATCGATGCTTGTTGACATACAGAAGACTCTTCTTTCGTTTTTTTCTTCAAACGAATGATATAATATAGTTATCTTTACATTTATAGCGTTCACTTTTATCTTTCGTTCGATTCGTTTACATTGGCGTAACGTTTCAACAATTTCAAAGATTATTTCTTAATTTTCTACATTTATGTAATTGATTATGATCAAATAGACAATATATTTTTTTTTAAATTTTAAAACCGTTACAAAAATCCAATTTGTCACGAATTTATTCTATTACAAACGTATTAGATACACGGTATGATCCTATATTATACATAGGAGCTTGGTGATTAAAATTCGCCGTGACATTCATGCGCCAATTAACTTGCCCGGCCTTTCGACCTTGTTGACATTTTAAACGTTTTCTGCCCTCTCAAGAAATCCGATAGCTAACTTCACACGTATACTTTCAACAGTTGCCTCGCTAATCTTGGATCATCTTTTTCCGATAGGTCTTCCTATGTGTATCGTTTGTCATTTTACAAATTCATTATTACATTCGGTATAAAACAGTATTCACAATTCACCCGTTTAAATTTGTACGACAGCGTTAGTCTTATGTTAATGTATTGTTTTATTACTACTGGATTACTACTGGAAAAATGAAATTAAAAAAAATGAATATATCATTTTTTATGTAAATTTTTCATGTAAAGTATTCTTTGATTTATAATTAAAAAAATATAATATTATATAATTAGTGTAGTAATTAAATATAATTTATACGTTGTATATTTTCAAAGATAATTCTGGATGATTTGAATTTTTACGTTGTTTTCGTAGTTATCTATATTTTATTTTACAGTGATAATTTTATGATATAGAAGCGATAAATTTATGATACACGTTTTACAATATTATGCAGTGGGTACCCGATTAACCGGCTTAATTGAGACCGGGCAAGCCGGTTAAATCGAAACCAATTGGATAATTCGGAGGCCATGATTAAACTAAATATGGTTATTTATAGAAATTCATCTATATTCATTTATGATTTTACAAATAAATAAGATTCTCAATATTTTATTTTTTAAATATAATAATATTTTCTTTAAATTTATTATCTTTAAATTTATAATAAATCGTAATATATTCATATTTTAAATCTTATTATTTTATTTATATTATTATTTTATTATTATTATTTATATTATTATTTTCTTATTTATATTATTATTTTATTTCTATAAATTAAGATAAACAATCATTGATTAAAAATATCATAAATATAATTATTTAATTATTATAAAAATAGCAATTTAAATTAAATTAAAAAAATTATATACTTCTTTCTGTCGAATCGGATTTATACTGAAAACACAGTTCTGCGCAATATCACATTGCGCAGGCAGTTAAATAGTAACGCTAATTTATATTAAATCGTTGTGCATTCGATAAATTTCGGTAAATTACATCGAAACAAATTGCTTATTTCAATTCAAATGGATTTTTTATTTTATCCTAAATATTATTCGTAGAATGGTAATCGTAAAAATGAAGTATTCAATTTTTTCAAAATAGATTATATAGTTCCTCGTTTCTGTTTCGTGTTATTTTTCACTACGTTACACAAGTAATATAGATTGTTGTATAATGTATCGTGTGAAGTTGCGCGCATACTCACGAACACGTGTCCGGACACGCGACGTGTGCGGGAGAACGAATTCAAAATAACCGTGTGTTTTATGGGTGGAGTACCGTCGAGATATTTCTTTATTCATGAGTGCAAACGACGAAGCGGCACGGCGTGCATTAATCCCTTGAAATCGTCGCTCGACCAAAGCGCACCAAGCCGAGTGTGTTTTTAACGCTCGTCTGCATTGAAACGCTTTACGTGGAAAACCGAATTACGAATTTATGCAACGGATAAACACATGCATCGGAGCCCTTTGAGGAACTTATCCGTTTACCCAAGATGGAAAGCATTGATAGTTGATGACATGTTATTACGGTAGATGGTACACGTTTCGTGTTTAAAATAATTAGGGGATTGATCAGTTACAAAGACGACAAAAAATATTTTTTTCCGCGAAATATACTATATCGAATAAAGTCAATTATTCATTATTTCTCTATTATATCTATTTAAGTTCATAGATATCAAATATATTGCAACGTATCATACTGAAATAAGATTAAAAATTATTCTCAATGTGTTAACAAAGAAATTAAGGCGATCGCATTTATCTCTATCAATTCAATTATTTATTTATTCAAGTATTTAATATTCAATTCATATTATTTTTCAACTTTGTGTGAACATTCTCTCAAAAATGAATTTTTTTTTCCTCTTAAAATGTCTAACTTCACTCACTTTGCTTCTCGATACGCTTTCACACACTCGAAAGTCCATTATACCGATTTGCACGTAGCGTATTAAACCATACGTCACGAGTTGATATTAGCCGATGATTTACGAGGCTCACTACGCGCAAATAATAACGGCTATCCTGTCTTATAGTGATTCACGTGCAAAAGCAGGGATGAAGTAATGCGACTGTTTGTCACTGCATAAAAAAAAAAAAAAAAAAGAAAAAAAAACTGATTAAACAGCAAACGGAGCGCACAATCCAGGTTTCATCGTTCCGTGTTGGAATCCTATTATCGATACGTCCCCCGAGAATTCTTTCAAACGCGAAATTTCAATTACGCGTGGAAACCGAAACACACAATCATTCACGAGCTTTCGTAGTTAAATTGCTTTCTCTGTTAAATGTATTTATCGCGAAATTCTACAGATTTCTAAATAGATTTTTATCATTAATTGCTCACGATTGTTTCTCATTTCTTACAAACGTTAATTTTAGGAATTTCTAGTTATTTTTCCTTGCCAAATGCTCATTATTAATTCCCTATAACCAAAATTTCACACATCCAAATTCTCTATAACCAAAATTTTACTATTCGCATAATTTTACCAATCGAAACAGATGCGTCACGCGAATATTGATCCTTTTGGTGGACTATTTACGATATAACGGTGCAAATAGTAGAATAGTAGAATAATTATCGAAGCACGGTCGAGCGATCACCATCTCGGAATCCGGTGTGTTA